AAGTGTCCATTTAATTTACAAATGAATTTTCCACATCTACCACAGGGCTGACTTACCTGTATTTCTCAAAGAACCATAAAATCCACACAAATATATAAGAAGGAAATGGTTTTCCTTACTGTCATGAAGGTAAAGTAATAATTTCATTGAATATAAAATGATCATCTTGGGATAATTATTTCCTCATAAATGTATGGAAGTGGTGCTATGGCTCAAAGTGGTAGAGGGCTAGCCTTCAGCAAAAAGAGCTCAAGGAAAATGCCTAGGCTCTGAGTTCAAGTCCCACAACCAACAATAACAACAAAAAAGTCAACATTTAATAGCAAGAATTCAAGTTTTCTTACTTTAAATAACTCATGCTAAACACATAAAGAGAATTTAGATGGACTATGAGGATTGCTCTATCTTTCTGATTATAAACAACTTTTCTTTGCTGGGGGCCAGTCTTAGGGCTTGAACTCAGGTCATGTACATTATCCTTGAAACTGTTTTTTTTTTTTTTGCTAAAAACTATCACTCTACCACTTGAACCACAGCTCTACTTCTGGCTTTTTTTTTGGGGGGGGGGTAGCTAATTGAAAATAAGAGTCTCACAGACTTTCTGCTGGAACAGGCTTTGAACCATGATCCTCAGATCTCAGTCTCTTGAGTAGCCAGGATTATAGAAGTGAGCCATAAGCACTGGGCATATAGAAGTTTTCTTAAAAGATTATATGGGATCTAACCAAACCTAACATCTGAAAGCAATGTAAATGAATATTTCCATGTCTGGTCAAAAGTAGCTGTACTTCCTTAACCAGCTAAGTGAAATAACTGAACTATGTCTCCCTTATGAAAATCAGAGAAAGCTAGGAGTATTGTTGCTTAAGCCTGCAATCTCAGTCATTAAGGAGGCAAAGATAAGGTGGATCGCAGCTCAAGGACAGCCCAGGCTGTCCATTCAACAACAACAACAAAAAGCTGAGTATGCTCACATGTGCCTGTTATCCCAGGTATTGGGAGGATATTGGTAGAAGAATTGCAGTGTAAGGTCAGTCTTAGGCAAAAACATGAGACCCTATCTCAAACAAAAAAAGGGCTGGGGATGTGGCTGAAGTGGTAGAGTACCAGCCTATTAATGGCAAGGCCCTGAGTTTAAGCCCTAGTACCACCAACAAATCAACAACAGAAATAAAACCTTGAGCCAGAATCTTAATTTATAGGTCTCCTCATCATCTGTATGTACATTCTCCCTTTTACACTTCTCTCCAAACACCAGCAGATGCTGTTTTAAAACATTTTTTAATACAAAAAAATCAAGTTTTATTCTAAAAGCAAAAAAACAAAAACAAAGGTTTCACTTAATATTAAAGCAGACCTGACAGAGTGCATATTGAAGGTGAAACAGAATTCAGCTCCTACTTTATAGTATTTAGGTTACTCCAAGCTCCACCTGGCAGTGAGCAGACCAACTGATCATAGAGATGAAGCAGCAGGGACTATTGCATTCCAGAGACTGTTAGTCTAAGGTTCCACTTGTACAATCTGATCTATTCAGGAATGAGAATCTAGAACAGTACACAGGGACCACATGTTAATCCTCTTGCTGCCTCTGAGTGTGCACTGTGCAACCCACTAAATCCTTCTGGAGTTTGGCTTCCCAGTGATAACAGGGATTATATTCTGTCCTTATCATTTCTTAGCAAGCCACTGAAAAAAAATCACCGAGCTGGTGCCAGGCTCTATGGTTCTAGAGTTAGACACATTCAACTTGGTAACTGCTACTAACGGCAACTGGAAATTCCTACCAATATTCAGATATAACATATATGATGTATGTGAATACCATGTAATGTGAATGTTCTTTAAAAATGAAAACTATTTGATACAAATACTAAATTGGGAGAAGCACTAAGTAAATGTAGAAAAACAATCTGCAGAGTTAAAAAGCAATACACTTTTTTCAGAGGTTATGAGATAATATATATCAAAGGGCCACACAGAGATGGGGTGCCATATGTTTCCACTGTACTTCCTAACTTCTTAGTGACTATGACACTGGAGTTTTGCTAGAAGCAAACTGACCATGCCCCAACTGGGAGGAGCCGGCGTCAGATCCAGGCGGCTAGAGGAGAGAGGAGACTTCATTTGTTTCTCACTGATTACTCAAGATGGTTAACATTCCCAGAGCTGGGTTACACTAAAACTCAAGTCAGCTCTGCTAATATTAAATCATCTAAGTACATCATTTCATTCCTACCAATTAGCTGAAATTTCCCTCTATAGCTTAATGGTTCAAACATTAAAATTTCCAGGGCTGGAAGGTGGCTCAGTGGTAGAGCGCTTGCCTTGCATGCATGAGGCCCTGGGTTCGATTCCTCAGCACCACATAAGCAAAAAGAAAAAAAGCTGGAAGTGGCACTGTGGCTCAAGTGGTAGAGCGCTAGCCTTGAGCTGAAGAGCTGATGGACAGCGCCCAGGCCCAGAGTTCAGGCCCCATGACCGGACCCAAAAGAAAAAAAAAAAAAAAATTAAAATTTCCAATGCTTAGGTTCTATAGGTGCACTTCAATTCAAAATATTCACATTTGCGATATAGAACATGCATGGTACCATTTTTAAGTGCATTATCTTTGTTTAGATTTTTTTCTTCTATAACATTCTGGGTTCACTGAACTATGACTCTTTTTGGTTAAAATGAATTGTGTGGAGGAAACATTACCTTTGGTAGATCAGCACTTTACAAAAATTATAATATATATACAACTCTCACTTGGATGACAGATTTTCATGATGCAATAATGACAAATTAAATATATGTCAACTTATTTTCCTAGAAAATGATAACTGATAAGGTTTAACCTGTGTCAACTTGGCTAGGCTATAGTGCCCAGCTTTTCCACCCAGCCCATTATAAATGTTACTATAAAAGTTTATACATGAAATGAGTATTTATAATAGTTGACTTTAAGATTATCCTTGATAATGTTAATAAGCCCTATTTAATAAAGGCCTTAAGAGAAAGAAAGAAACAAACAAACAAAACCAACAGATTTACAAAAAAAAGAATTCTACCTCAAGAATTCTGTAAAAACATAGAAATCCTGTCAAAACTTCAGGCATATTGGCCTGCTCTACAAATTTTAGACTTGCCAGCCCTGACAACTGTACAAGTCAGTCAAACAGTCAAGTTTTTTCTCCCTCTTTCTCTCTCTCCCTTCCCTCCCTCCCCCCCCTCCACCATGCATCTATGTATTCTATTGGCTCTATTTCTCTGGAAAACTAATATACCCTCTGGTTCAAGAGGGAAATACTATCACAACACTGCATAAAGTAACAAACAGAAATAAAACCAAACAGTGAAGTGACATTCTTTTTTTTTTTTATTTTTTTTATTTACTCCCTTGGGTCAAAGAAAACTGACTGACCACTTAAAGATCAAACTTGTGGCTTTGACCATGCTTCACCTTGCAGGAATAAATGTAATATATATCCCACACCTATATTAAATTTATTCTGTAATATTTTTCTCTCATGTATACATGAAAATGTATTTCCTTGGGCATTATTTTAGTAAAATGCAATATAATTGATATGCTTTATAACATATATTAAGTGTACATATATTTTTAAAAATATGGAACGCTTCACGAATTTGCATGTCATCCTTGCGCAGGGGCCATGCTAATCTTCTCTGTATCGTTCCACTTTTAGTATATGTGTTGCCGAAGCGAACACTGAAGTGACATTCTTAAGCCCATGGTACACAATATAGAGTTGTAGAAGATGGCAGACAGTATGGAACCCTCTAACACAATCACCTTAGTCAATGTTTACAAGATTCCAGGATCTTACTCCCTGAAAGTAAGCCATGTCTGTTCTTTAAAAAAAAAAAAAAAAAAAAGGCCAGGAAGGTGGCTCAGTGGTAGAGGGCTTGCCTTGTATGCATGAGACCCTGGGTTTGATTCCTTAGCTAAAGTGACCTAAAGCAAACACAATGTTATGATCTATAGCTTTCAAGCTATTCAGTTCAATTTCATCACAACCTTGAGATACAATGATACAATGAAGGACTACTAACTAAACAGCACATGTATTTGACTCACAGCTGAATCAGATTCAATACTCATACTCCAAACAGGAAGGCCTGGGCCTAACAACTGTGCCAATCAAAAACCTCATGGGGTCTCTTTGATTGAAAACATCTAGTTTCCATTTTGCTAGAATATTAGCATTTCTCTACTTACTGTGAATTATAATCATTCAAAGGGCTCCAACAGGGCTGGGAAGGTGGCTCAGTAGTAGAGTACTTGCCTTGCATGCATGAGACCCTGGGTTTAATTCATCAGCACCACATGAGCAGAAAAAGCCAGAAATGGTGCTGTGGCTCAAGTGGTAGAGTGCTAACCTTGAGCTGAAGAGCTGAGAGATAGAGCCCAGGCCCAGAGTTAGGCTCCACTACCAACCAAAAAAAAAAAAGGCTCCAACAAATGGGTCCCCCAAGACCCATTTCAGAACAACAGAACCTGTAGGTTGATTCTGTGCTGCTTTTTTGTTGTTGTTATTGTTCAGTTCTGGGAGTCAAATCTAGAGCTTGTACATGCTAGGTAAGCACTCTAATACTGAGCTGTAAGTAATCACCCAGTCCTTGTTTTTACTCAGTATTTACAAGAAGGAAAAAAAAACTCCCAGGTGACTCATGCAATGGCCTTGGTGAAAATTACAGTCCTTTCTGGACTCTAGTTAAACTTGGTGTACCTTGGGCTCAGCAGTTTACAGCCACAGAGACCGGGACTATAAGCTAAGTTCTTGAAACCTAACCATGAGTCAATGGGAAGCCAAGAAGATTATATGAGGAGGTTGCAGGTAGAATAATTCACCTGTTGGTTGGGTTTCCCTAATTTAGTTACTCTATTTTTTTATTTTTTTTAGTTAGTCTGAAAATTTAACTTCTTCAAGGGCTCAAGGAAAAGAGTGCCCACTGCAGTAAGTCAGCCAAAGCAGGGAGACAGCTCTCCTTACCTGTTTGGCTTCTTCAGCTGTGATGGAGCTTCCAGAGGCTTCATCTTTGGAGATCAGTGTAATTCCATCTAGAAAGCAATTCATAGGACAAATTTCAGTCAATTCAACTTCTATTGCCTTTCTATCATACCTCTGTCCATCTTTACCCTGGAGATGTTTGTAAACAATAAATGCTGTTCTAGAGAAAATATAAAACTGTAATAGCAATTAATGTATACTATCCTGTCATCTCACATTACTTTCTCTCCTGTCTTTACTAGTATAATGAGCAAGAAAGCTACATCTTAAGTTCTACCTGCTCCATGAAGTTCTTCCTTGATCAGCTCCAAACAGAAATAGCCTCCTCTTTAGAATTCTCAGGTCACTTTGTTTATGTCTTTGAAATGCCTTTTATTACATCCTGTATCACTATGTGTACCTATGTTATCTCTCCTAATGGACTATACTTGTCTGAAGGGTAGGGGCTATCTTATTCCTCCTTAAATGCCTCTCCATGTACTAAATGTGTGATACTCAATAAATAAATGACTGAAGGACTTTATACCCAGTGTGGGATTCTGCAACATTCTGACTTATGTCTACTGATGGAATAGCCAGAGGACTAGATCAGGTGACCTCATGATTTTCAACTGCCATATGTATTTAACACAGTTCTTTGATTTTTACTCTGTGAGGGTCAATCAAGGATAGATATCTATTCTCTAGTTTTCTCTTCCCCTAAGCTATTTCTCTATCTCAAATGGTTGATGAAGGATACACTTTCAGAAAAACACATGAATTAAGATCTATTTGAACCTAGAAACGGCACAGATTATGTGTATTCTCTCAATGGTAGATAAGCCCTTAGAAAATGCGTATCCTGTAAGTTTCTTTTCAGCAAATAATATGCTATAGCATTCAGTAATCACCAGAATCAACCTATTTCATCTACGGGGTCAGCAACAGAGACATAGAGAGCAAGCCCTATTTACCACCCATCCTAATTGCTTTTGCTCCCGAGTGCAGAGGTTAAAGGGCTGAAAAATTAACTGTCAGGGAAATGGTTGCCTGTGTGATAAAATGCTGCCTGCTAGAAACAAATTCTGGCTTCTGATCAAAAGTAAAAAAGTTTCATTCCATCTCTAAGCATGTTTTCATAATATGTATTTCTAATAAATAAGATCTACACTTGGGTTCTGAAAAAAAAAAACTGGGTTTTATATATACACATATATATATTTTTTTTGGGGGGGGGGTCGGTCGTGGGGCTTGAACTCTGGGCCTGGGCGCTGTCCCTCAGCTCTTCAGCTCAAGGCGAGCGCTTTACCACTTAAGCCACAGCACCACTTCCAGTTTTCTAGTGGTTTATTGAAGATAAGAGTCTTACAGACTTTCCTGCCCGGGCTGGCTTTGAACTGTGATCCTCAGATCTCAGCCTCCTGAGTAGCTAGGATTACAGGTGTGATCATGCCACTGGCACCCAGCCTTGGTTAAATTTTTTTTTTTTTTTTTTTTTTAATGGGAAAGGTCAAGAAAGAAACTAAACATCGAAAGTAACACTGAGCTCCATTTACATTGGCTGCTGTCAAGAAGGGCAATTGAGTGGCTTTGGGGCATGAAGATGCTGAGCCTTGACATGGAAAGCCCAGGAGCACAGTAATGAAAGGTGGCAGGGACACAAAATGAAGGTGAGTCATCTGTTTTGTGTGACCCAGCATGGCCAAAATGGCCAAGAATCTGAGAAAGGGGAAACATTTGCCCACATAGCTGCTGAGCTCAACAAACAGAAAAGAAATTTTAGAATTCTGGGCACAGTGCTGAGAGTATAATGAGATGGGATATCTGATGCTTATTTCTTATTTATTACTGTGTTTGTGCTCATTAAGCAAGATTTTGAGTTCAGTAAATCCTAAGCACTTTCTGAAGTTTAAGTAGAAATCCATCTAGTACCATCAAAGACATTATACTATGTAATTTAAATTTAGAAGTTATGTGTACATTTTTTAAAAATAGCATAAAAATTTGATGGGGAAAAAAAGCAAATAATACCTTACCCTGAACCACAATTTCCCAGAAATGACTTAATTTTTTAACTTCCACTTTTTCTCGAAGGGCTTTCAGGAAAGTGTTGAAGCGCTGCTCTTCTGAAAACTGTGAGAGGGAATAGGGGCAGAGGAGGCAACGAGTCAGAGCAAATACAAAACTGACAAACAACTATTAATTTTGAAGCCATCCTATTTATATTAAAAGAAAAAAAACCCTACACTAAAGGTTTCACTTTGGTAAATAGAAGCTGGCAATTAAAATTTGCTTTGTTCATTTTTTTTTTAATTTTATTTTATTTTATTTGAGAACATACTGTACAGAGGGGTTACAATTACATGGGCAGGATAATGCATACGTTTCTTACCAAGCATTGCAGCCTCCTCCTTTGTCTACCCTTCACCTCCCTTCCCAGCCTCCCCCCTCCCCCCCACCCAATCATACACCCCTCCCCCCCTCCCCCCCCACCGACTGCTTTGTTCATTTTGAACCAGAAACCTTTTATCCATGGAAGACACAGAGATTTTCATAGCCACACAGGATTTTTTGGAAGCCTACAGTTCTGCTTTAGTATTTATTTACAGATAATTTCTAATGAAACTAGAGAGAATGACTTAGTGAGTACTAATGTGCTGATCACTCAGCTTCAGTAACTGTCAATCCAATGAATCTTGACTCAACCATGCCTCCACCTTTTTTAAGAAAACATATTCAAGTGCCATTCTATATCACATAAAATTATCAATTACTTGTGAAGGTTAAAATGTGTTTGTGACTTTAAGTGTCACTATTCCACAATACTGTGAAATATGTGAAATTTATGTAACCACCTAATATCAATTTTTAAAAAAAGAAGAAAAAAAAGAAAGAAATATCCCAGTAATTCAAAAAAAATCAATTACTTAACAAGACCAAAGAATTGGCTGGTGTTTATTTTCTTTTTTGTCATTTTTTAATTAAATATATTTTGTTGTTACTATAAAGATGATGTACAGTGGAGTTACAATTACATAAGTCAGGTAAAGAGTCCATTTCTTTTTGGACAATGTCACCCTTTCCTTTGCTCTCTCCCAGTTTTTCCCTCTTGTCCTCACATGTAAGTGTATAGTTCATTTTCAACAGTGTCCAGTGAGTATCACTGCTGCATTTATTTGCCCTCCATTTCTGTGCCTCTTTTACCCCCTCAGAGACAGATAAAAGAGCAAAGACAAAAAGGAAAGGAAAAAGAAACTCTTTTCCATTTCCTGGAGTTCATTTTGATAAATATTATTTTATATGATCTGAGGCACATAGGCATTGCGCCTTTGTGTTCCTCTCCTAAGAGCATCCTCATTTGGTCTCAATGTGTGTGATGCCTGGAGTCCTATATAATTCATCATGTTCCAGTGTACTTTAGACCTGGCTTCCTTCTGCATATGAGAGAAAACCATACACTGTCTCTCTGAGCTTGGTTTCCCTCACTTAACATGCTTTCTAGGTCCTTTCTTCCTTATTTTTCAAAATTATTTTTCAATTTAAAAAAAAGTCTACATGTCCAGGCACAGTGAATCAAGTCTATAATCCTAATTACTTGAGGCCAGCCAGACAAAAGTTTGCAAAACTCCACCTCAACCAATGGCCGGATATAAGGGAGTGTAACTCTTATCCCAACTACAAGAGAAGCACAATGGCTATATGGCGAAGCACAACAGGAGAATTATGGTACCGGCCAGCTTGGACATAAGGCAAGACTCAAAATAAGAACACAAAAGGAAGAGTGGCTCAGGTGGTAGAATTCCTACCTAGAAAGTGGAAGGCCATGAGTTCAGACCCCACTATCACCCAAAAGGAGGGGTGATTACATTGATTGTTGTATATCTAGTCTCTTAGGCTTTTCCTCCATTTCTCATTTATTGTTTTGCAATGATGGGGACTGAGGTGCATGCTAGGTCTGTGCTCTACTACTGAGCTATGCCCTAGACCTGTTTTTATCGCGCGTGCGTGCGTGCGTGCTTGCGTGCGTGCGTGCGTGCGTGCGCCAGGGCCTGGGCCCTGTCCCTGAGCTTCTTTTGCTCAGGCTGTTTGGTAATTATTTATTAGAGTCCTACAGGCTTTCCTGTTCAGACTGCCTTTGAACTGCGAATCTCAGATCTCAGTTTCCCGAGTAGCTAGGATTAGGGGTGTGAGCCACCAATGCTGGCTAGACTTCTCTTTTTTAGACACTTAATGTCACAGACATTAAGCAGCAATAGCCAGCAGAATGTTATCTGATGCTCCATCAAGCCTGGGGGCAGTGCTTTAAAAAGCAATACATTTTTTACTGTCATTTTCTTTCCTTTCTAGCTAAATCTTTCTCTATCCAAATGAGTCATCCTTAGTCTAGTCTAGTCTAATCTTGTCTTTCATCTGTAGACTATTTGGGTCATTTACTTCTAAATCTTTTGTTCTAATTTTAATAAATTTCTCATTTTCTTGTAATTCTCTGTAAGCCCTTAAATTATTCAAACATTAGTTAATTCATTTATTTAGCAAATAACCACACAAGAATATATACTAGCCCAAGCCCAGAGTACAAGCCCCTTGACTGACAAAAAAAAAAAAAGAATATATACTAACAACTGTGCCTACTTTAAAAATATATTGAGATTTGAGGATTGCAGTTCGAAGCCAGCCCAAACAGGAAAGTTTGTAAGACTTATCTCCAATAAACTACCAAAAAAAATCTGGAAGTAGAGCTGTAGCTCCAGGGGCAGACCACTAGCCTTAAGCCAAAAAAAGAAGCTCAGGGATACCACCCAGGCCCTGAATTCAAGCTCTAGGACTGGCAAAATAAATGGATAAATACATAAAACTGTAATTTCTATTTCAAATTTGCTTGGCTCTTGCCTAGCTATAAATACATAGGCCTATACATAATTTGGAAGACTTTTTTAGAAGTGTTTTCTAAAATTTCGCAATTGAAAATATGAATAAATTGAAAATACACACAAATACACATAAGGATGGAGAGGAAGACAGTAATTATTTTTCAGCGTTTTTTTTTTTTCTAGCATCTAGATTCTTCATCCTGTCTTTGTAAAGAACTTCTTGATAACTACTGCAATATATATATATATATATATATATATATATATATACATACTTAGCTCATCCTTCACAATAGTGACAAAACCATCAGAGGTTACCATGGAAATTTCCTCAGGTTCTCTTAAGTAGGAAGCTAAAGCCAAGTCTTTAGAGTTCTGAAAAGCTAATTTCTGGGAATAAGATACCCCACCTAACCACCCATTGATCCTCAGAAATGACAAAGATGGCAGTAGTATTACTATGTCTCATGGATTATAGTGCTCTGTACACCTAGAATGAAAACTTGGAAAGCCTTGGCTTATTTGTGGGGTGTTTGCCTCTCCCCATGACAGATGGGGAAAGATAATACAGGAGAGGACAGTTACCTGAATAGCTTCTTCTCGGAAAGCTTTGATGCAATCCATGCTCTTCATAAAATATGGTGTTTCATTTGTCTCCAAAAATTGTTCAATGTGATTTATTAGCTGGTGACTTACTAGAATATAAGATAATACATTTATTTTCCTCAATGTGAGTGATAATTGTTGGACAAAGTTTGCTTCTTGGTAAGTGACAACAAGAATGAACTCCTGGTCAGTGTGCACAACACCACATTTCTTTTAGGAGTGATAAGATATAAAACTCGGACTTCACAAGTCTATACTTGAATTCAGGTAATACTGACTGGCATTTTTCAAGAAATAAAATTTAATTTCTAAAATACTTGGAATTATAGTTTTACCTTTGAGATGATAAGTACTAGGTTGTAGCGTTTTTTTTGTTTTGTTTTATTTTGATCTTATTGTTGCTTTATACCACCCTTCCCTGCCAGAATCTAGGGGCTGGTTTGGACAACTCAAAACTATGTTTCCTAATATAATCAAAGAAAATGAATTCTCTAGTCCCTCCCCAACTCTACTCAGGATAACTGTTAGGTTGTGCCAGGCAGTGCAAAGTACTGAGCCACAGACATCCTAGCTTTGACTGATCCCAGATTAAATTAGAGAAGAACAGCCTTGGTCTTAACATAGCATCCATTAGAAAGAAAAATCATTACTATATATCTTATGTCTTTAGTTGGACCTGATTATTTCCTGTGTTGCTCCCACTCTACCAGCTAGCAAACTGCCAGCAAGCAATGTATAGGGGGAAAACTGCAGGAAAAACAGAAAGTGTAAAGTAATCAGGGAACTTAATTTGCTGAAGTCACAAGTGACCCTTAAGATCTTTATCAAAGAACAAATGAAAGCAAGGTGACCAGGTACAACCTGAGGCTCACAGTTTCTCCTCTGAAAGCACCCACTAGCTGGCTGGTAGGGGATTAATGCCAAATGGTCAAGATATTCTAAAACCGCCATGTTTACCAAAATCATGACCTCATTTCAACATTCTAATAATTAAAAATGTATTATGAATATAATACTAAAGCAAACTACTTAGCAGAGTGATCTGAACATTGTTCAATGCTTATGAAAGATATGAAATTGGTGCCAAGGATCTAATAGCATTAGGAAAGAATTATAGAACTGAACAAACCATTTTCCAATATAGTGATTACGCCACAAAGGAAAAACATCCCTCAGTAACCATTTTATCTCTTCTACCAACCAGATTATGATCTCCATCATAATAACAAATTTCAGTTAACAAACTTCAAGAATTAAGAAAATATTTCTCTGCAATTTCAGAAGCCTTTACCTATGTCTCTTCCATCAGTGGCTTAATATCCAAGTATAATTCAAAGGAGACAAAGCATGTTCAGATGGTCTTTTCAGACAAGGTAAATAATGCAACCCTGATTAGCAGGCTGAGCAGAAAACTCATCAGCAAGAAGCTCAAAGCAAAAAAGAAGTGATCTTTCCTGCTCAGAAAGGCAAAGTACCAGAAAGGTTTGATATTTCTCATATCACATACAGCAGCCTACTTTCTCAGAGAGTTTGGTGTAACATTTTTTCAGCTGGGCACAGGTGGCTCACGCCTATAATACTAGCTACTTAGGAGGCTGAGATCTGAGGATTGCGGTTCAAAGCCAGCCGGGGCAGGAAAGTCCATGAGACTCTCATCTCCAATAAACCATCAGAAACTGGAAGTGGTGCTGTGGCTCAAGTGGTAGAGTGCTCACCTTGAGCTGAAGAGCTCCAGGACAGCGCAGCGCAACAGGCCCTAAGTTCAAGCCCCATGACCAACAAAAATAAAATAAAATAAAATAAATTTAAAATTCAGCATTATATATCTAGGCACAAATAAAAACCTCTGCAGCCAAAGCAGCAATCTCAGAGATTCCACATTCTCCATTCCTTTTGAGACGTGAATAAAGAATCTTAAGATGCTATAATATAAATATTTCCCTTTGATTTATTTAATGATTATTTTCATTAATTTATCCTAGCCTTTTTTTTTGTCCTGTAACAACTATGGAAAAGACACTTTGCAGAAATCAAGTGCTAATGGCTCATACTTATAGTTGTAGCTACTTGGGAACTGAGATCTGGGGGATTATGGTTCAAGACAAGCCTGGATAGAAAAGTTTGCTAGACTCACATCTCCAGAATAACCACCAAAAAAGCTGAGCTGTAAGTATGTCTCAAGTAGTAGAGCACCAACTAAGTAAGCAAGCACAGTGAGCAGGAGGTCCTGAGTTTAAACCTCAGTGTTAAAAAGAAGAAAAGAGCGGGGAGCTGGTGGCTCACGCCTGTAATCCTAGCTACTCAGGAGGTTGAGATCTGAGGATCACGGTTAAAAGCCAGCCCGGGCAGGAAAGTCCGTGAGACTCTTATCTCAAATAAACCACTAGAAAACCGGAAGTGGCACTATAGCTCAAGTGGTAGAGTGCTCGCCTCGAGCTGAAGAGCTGAGGGACAGTGCCCAAGCCCAGAGTTCAAGCCCCACGACTGACCAAAAAAAAAAAAAAGAAGAAGAAAAGACATTATTGTTATGTTCTGAAGGAAACACAAATAAGTTGGAAGACCCTTGCCTTTAAGGAATTTACAGTCTACTAGGGAATATAACATACAAAAATAGTAACAGACAATAAACATCAAGAGGGATGACTTACAAAATCATATTAATTGATCTCAAAAGTTTTGCATATTGCTCTGAATTTTTAAAAAATCTTGGGTAATTATAGCAAGCTTTGTGAATGAACATGGACCTCTGATTGAACAATAAAAAGAAGAGCTGGCTACTGTCTAGCAAGAAAACAAAATGACCCTAAGTATGAAAAGCAGAGGTGAAAAAAAAATCTACAGGATATGTGTGACACAAATCAAACAGTCCCCTACCTGGACAAGAGCAGAGGAAGAAAAAGGAGAAGAACTAGGCAAGAAACGGTAGAAGGGAACAAAAGGAACACATGTGAGGCTCCTGAGGGAAGGATGCGGCTTGATTCCTTAGAAAGCCTGAAGAATGAAGTGGGTCTAGGAATTACAGCACTGAGAAATTCTGGATAGAAGAAGAGAGCTGCTTCAAGTAACTAAAAAGTAACAGGAGGGCTGGGAATGTGGCTTAGTGGTAGAGTGCTTGCATAGCATACATGAAGCCCTGAGTTCTATTCCTCAGTACCATATAAATGGAAAAAGCCAGAAGTGGTGCTGTGGCTCAAGTGATAGAGAGCTGGCCTTGAGCACAGAGAGGAACAAGTACAGTGCTCAGGCCCTGAGTTCAAGCTCCAGGACTGGCAAAAATAAAAAATAAAATAACAGGAAAGGAAAATCAGTAGGATTCATATCACAGATACGAAGAGAAAAGATTTTAATAATAAATTAAAAGTTTATAAAGAGACCAAGGAATTAAAGGTTGAAGTTTAGGGAATCCTATAGGCCAGGAGCCCTGAAGCAACTAGAGCTATCAAATTCCTCTGCAAAAAATACAGTTTTCTGACTCATTTTATCTCAAAATATGAGAGAATAAGCATGAATGTGCATACACACATGGTGGGAGCGGGCACATTTTATTTTACAGAAAAAGTTATTCAAAAGAAATAACAATAAGCAAATGCCAAAGCCAACAATCCATTTGCAATCACTATTTGTGAAAGGCATATAAGGAAAATGAAGTAAGGATTGCCACAATCTACTTTCTAGTTAGGAAGGAAACCTCATGTATCTGTGCTCTTTTCTGGATTCAGTTTTTCTTATTTACATGTCAGACTATTTTGTCCTTTCTTCCAGATTGTTCAAAAACACAGGCAGGTATACACATCCAAACATTAATAAATAGAGCCAGATTTTGCCTGTCTGGAAATGGTTAGTCATAAGGCCAGCACATGTGGTCCATGATTCTGAATGCTACCCCTTTACCTACGAAGACTTTCTTGTGGTTCCCTAACTATAAAGAACCATTTAACACGAGGGAATAAATGTGATAAATAATGCTTTATATAGTGAATAATAGGATGAGATGTGGACTTTCGCTTCCCAAGTTTGGTGGCACTTTCCATTTTCCTGTCATTTTTGACAAACATGAAATGCAGCAGGAGCTAACAAAAATAAGATTATACCTTGGTTGGATTATGCTTGGCTCCTTGTCCTCCTCTGCCTATGTACAGAAAATACCGGCTACCAGGGTGCTCTTTTCTGCTTGTACAGAAATTATAAGCCTAAGTCAAGTCTTCATACTCAGTAAGTCATAGCCCCAATTATAATCACCAAACTTCTTCATCATTAGCCAGTGACTCAATAACACTCATTAGTAGCTAATGTGAAAAATGGCCACTGGAAGGACCATCCATCCATCTTAGGATACTAAGTCAGGCACAGGGCTATCAATTATCTCAAAGAAGACTTAAAAAATGTCTATTTTAGATTTTGAGGCTTTATATATGAGCTCTATATATTGGCCCAGTATCTTACCTAAGTACAAATGCCGATATACCAAGTTAACTTCAATGCACTCATACCTCAGTTACCTTAAAAAATTTTGTGGATTCATGTATCTTGTAAGAGGAAAATGTCCTTTTCCTTTTTTTCCTCTGGTCCTCCCTCTCTAACAGAAGACATTCAATACCATCCAAAGTCCTACAAAATGGACCACCTTCCTTCTTGGTACATATAACAAGAGCCAAAAACCTAAGGCTGTGAGCTTCTGGGATTTGGACTACGTTTACTCACTACTTTGGCTTAATACAAAAAAAATTTCCAGTCCAGTGAAAGGAAATCATCTATTATGGATTTTTCCCTTTATCTAACAGAGATAAAATAGTAGTAGAGTCGTTCATCGATCACACACCATGTATGAAGTTGTTGAAGGCATCTAAAATGATTTTACCAAACCCAGGATGTTTCCCAATTTAATTCTCACTATCTCATGGTTCATATAAATTTTCCTCCTTGAAAACATCCCTTTTGCAGATGTCAGCAGCTAAATCATTTAAAAATGTTAAGAACACATTTACATACCCAATAACAATATTATCTTTATAAAACAAAATTAAGCCTGGCGCTGGTGGCTCACGCCTGTAATCCTAGCTACTCAGGAGGCTGAGATTTGAGGGTTGCA